ATGTTGATGACCGGAAAAGTACTTTGGGTTATGTATTCCTACTCAGAAAAAAGGCTTTTACTTGGTTGTCAAAGAAGCAGCCCATTGTAACTCTATCGACCTGCGAAACCGAGTATGTGGCGGCCTACTGAAGCGTGTGTTATACAGTCTAGCTTTCAAATCTACTAAAGCATCTGGGAGTGATCTGAGACGAAGGGACTATAATCCGAGTTGATAATAAGTCGGCAATCGAGTTGGCAAAGAACCTGTTTAATCACGGAAGGAGCAAACACATCGACGTCCGATTTCATTTCATCCGAGAACAAGTCAGAGAAGGAAAAGTCGAGTTGGAACATGTTGAAAGCCGAGCTCAAGCCGCGGACGTATTCACCAAGCCACTACCGACCACACTGCTAGAGAGTTGTAAAAGGCTGATTAGAATAAGATATAAGAAGAGTATTTAAGTTTAATGGGGAGATTTGTTGTAAAATATAAATTAGTCGTTTAGTATTCCTAGAATAGTATTAATGATTTTAGACATGAGTGACATAACTAAGAAATATGGGTTGCAGACCTATTTAATATGCATCATGGTTTACTTTTGGCATTTGAAAAAGAAAACATTTTGCCCATAAATACTTATAACAACTCATTTGAAATCGTAGCAGAAGAAACATTGAGAGATTAAAAGAAAACAGAGTGCTGTCAACTTATTTCCTCTGCTTTCTTCCTTTTCTTCAAATTACCAATTTTATGCTTGAATTTGTGCTCCTTTAATGCAAAAATGATAAGAAAATGTTTGAGTTCTAATTAAATTAAATATTAACTTCTTCTTTTTTTTATCTGGGTGTACAGCATGTTAGATCGCATCTAGTTAAACACCAATTTTGTTCATCACTTCTCTTCAAGGTATTTATTTAAATTCATCAACCATTGCAGATTTGTTTAAATTCATAATTTGCAGATATCTCCACGTGAAGTCGATATTGAGGAAAACCTCATCTGAATTGTATCAATGAAATTTTTATCTATTAATTACTTGTATTATAATAATGCAACATCCTAAGGCAACTATTAGATTTTCCATTGGCACTATCATTTTCTCCATCATTACAGTAAATGCCTCTAACAAAGAACAACATTATTGCCACAGCAAGGCTTTTTGTTGATGAGGCAAACAAGGAACATTAGTAGAACATTCATACACGGTAATGCTTATTGCCACAGTAACATTTACAGGACTTCACAGCGGGTGTTGTTTGTATGAAGTTTAAACAGTAAAAGAGACGATACAACAAAACATACTCTCATATTTTGCTCCTCATTCTCACCAATCTTGCCAATGTGTCTTGAGCAGTCAAGGTCTGGGCATGGTTATGGCCAAGCATCACAGTTCTGATACTGATGCATGTTCTGCACAGCTCCTTGGCACTGTCTAGATGCCCCCCTCTTGCTAGCAACTTTGCCCTTGTCTCCAGCAGTGTTGCCTTTAACAAGGTCACATCCTGCCACACATATTCATCTACTTTTTGACCTCTTTGCAGCCTCCTTTTCCAACAGATTGAACCATGGGAAGACCAATCTTGGATTTGAGACACAAAGGACTTCTCAACTTCCTCCAGTGCATTGGTGCACACCCTCAAGAGCTCCAAGGATGAATTGCATCTTGAGAAAGTGGTGAAGGCTTGAATTGCTAGAGGGAGAGCTGTTCTCTTGATGTGCAGAACCATGTCAATTGCCTTCAGCTGCACAAGTGGGGGTTCAGATTTGAACCCAAACACAAGGAAAGCTGAGGCCCACAAATGATCTGAGTTTACATGGCTGCCCATTTTCCTCACTCCTTGAATTGCAGCCTTGGCATATTGCAAACCACCTTTTATTTTGGCAAATGCTTGTGTTATGGGGTGGAAATGAAGCCAATATCCATCATGTTGATTAGCCCTTCTAGCCAGTCCCATTTTCACAAGAAGCATTGCTGAATCTTCTTCGATTCTCCACGTCCGCGATGAAAAACAACTTGGTGTTAGGCTCAGAGATTTGGTCCACTTCTTGAGATGGCTTTCGACTGTAGGAATACTCTTTGCTGCATTGGCTAATAAACTGGCCGAAATGGGAGCAGGAGAAAACCAGCCACTTACAAGCAGCATTCTTATGGCCAAGAGGTTCCCTTTAGCTTTAGTTTTCTCCAAAGTTTCCAAGCAAAAGAGAAGGGTCTTCAGGAGAAAAGGGTTGCTCTTGTACCATTGCCCTTCTGCAATGCTCATATAGCAAGAGTTTGAATCTTCATTGAGTGGCACCTGGTTTATGGCCTCAAAGAGAGAAGAAGGGCCTATTGAAAGTTCAGCCAACAATGAACCAATCATCCACAAACCAAAGCTCAACCTTCCAAGTTTCTCATTGAATTTTTCAAGCAAGTCTATCTCATCTGCTGGATACTCTCTCCTTTTTCTTCCTATCATCAGAATCATTGCATCAGATAAAGGCAAAGGTGGAAGCTGAATAGTGTCATAGCTCATTACTTTGGACAATCTAGTAGTAACAATCACATGTGTCCCTCCAGTGTTTCGTGGTATCAAGTCATACAGATCCTTCCCTTCCCACCATTCCACTTCTGTCTCAAGATTGTCAATTATCAGCAAGTGAGGAGTCTCACCAAACAGTTCCCTCTTCACTCTCTTGAATGCCTCAAATTCTTGCTCCTCGAAGCTACGAATCCTACCCCTTTCGATTTCAGAATCAGCACCAACATCCAATCCCAAATTGAGAGACAAGTTCAATAAGTTCTGCCTCAGATACCTGGCTTCACCACCAACCCACAAGACCATTTTGTACCTCTGGTGATATCTATGGGCAAATTCTAGTGCCAGCTCTGACTTCCCAATCCCAGAAACCCCATTAATGCAAATAACACTGCTACACGCACTCTTGTAGTTTCCACTCTTTGACTTCTTATTCTTCAACCTCTTCAAAGAATTGTTTCCTATGATCGGTTCAACCCAAGCCTCTAAAGTTGGTTCTTTGCTCCTTCCCATCTCTAAGCTAATATACCTCCCACACCTACCTATCACTGGTTCACTTTCCTCATCTGCAAGGCCTTCAGATTGTCCACTTCCACTTGCTTCCCCTTTGGTAAATGACCTACAATGATCTTGGACTTGTTCCATGCAATTCCCTCGACCAAAAAAAAGACCTTCAATCTCCATAATCTCCTTCTCTCTTCCTACGAAGTATGGGTTCCTTGGAAAGGGTAAGTTCTCAAGTCCTTGCATTTTATCCTTCTGCTCAGCATTCTTTCTACCAAGTCTTGCTCTTAAAATACCCGCAGCTTTTGCTATGCTGCTTCGCCAATTACCATCATTAGCCTCTAGATTGAATTCATTGCACTTCATTATACCATCTATTGCCTCTTTACATTCTTTGTCAATTGAGTTGCAGTTAAGAAGAGCCATAATCTCTGAAGGTCCTGTGTCAAATAAGAGAGGAATCAAGTTCTTCTTTTGGGCAAAGAATCTCACCTCCTCCATGCTAAAATGGTTGAGGAAGCTGGAACTTGTAACTACCACCACTCCAAAAGCCACTGAGCAAATGACTCCATCAGCAATTTCATGGCTCTGACTGTCTGAGTACTTTGCTCTATCAGCAAGCATGCAATCGATCCCTTGAAGCTCAAGCTCAGACTTAAGCCACTTGCAGAAGCGCACCAAGTTGGGGTTCTGGCCATGGAATCCAATGTAGACATCACAGCTTCTGAGTTTGGCATTGGCAGCAGGTGAGACAGGGCCTTTAGCAAAGGAAATTCTAGGGACTGGAAATGAGAATGAGATGCGTGGAGGAGCCGGTTCAGGAACACATGTCACGTATTTGAGCCTTGTGTCAGCAGTGTCATCAGAGAACTCGTATTGATCGGAAGGGGGAGTGTAGGAACTGCTTGGCACATCTTCTGGGGTGGATGGGTTGGTTGTGGAAGTGGTTGTTGTTAGCAGTGGTGGTTGGTTTTCCAAAGGAGATCCATTAGGTGGGTCTGGGATTATGGCCCTTGGAGATATATATGGAGACTGCAATGCTGAAACAAATGCTGATGAAGGTGGTGACACAAGAGGAGAACCATAAGGTGATGATTCTATGGCATTGTTTATGTTTGGTGAAGGTAAGTTTGAGTTGTCTAAACTCTCCCCACCTGGTTTGCTGCAACTTACAATCTTAATTTTAAGTGTGCTAGAGATTGCAGCATGTGTTGCATCGGTGCCTTTGTTGTTGTCCTCTCTTTCACTTTCCATGAATAACAACTCTTCGAAGATGGTTAAAAAATGCAGTTGTAGTGGCCTTTAGGCTAGATCTCACTATAGATGTACATAGTATATTACTCTATACTCTACACTCTACAACATTTGTTTCTTAATAATTAGCAAAGGCTCCTCTATTCTTTATGTGGGGTATAGTTAGGCCTTAAAATACCTATTATTTGCTGTAGGATACAGAAGACCTGAATAATGTATCTGTGTGGCTCTGATTGTGACCCTACAGCATTTGCTTGGTTCTGGAAACATAAATGCAATCCAATAGTAAAAGGCTAAGATACAAGAGTTCTGCATGTGGTGCACAGACTCATCACTTGGATTTTAGCATCTGAAGCTGTGTGTTGTACTACACCAGTAGCACTTGTACATCCAGTACTGATTGTTGTGGTGTGAGCTGTTGTGAAGCATCCAAACTGTGCTTGAATGTGAAAGTTGTGAGATGAGTTTCAGCTTCCAGTTTTGGCCATGCTACTACTGTTATGGCAAGGAAACAGCAACAATATCAGCACTGAAAATGTAAACGTATTAGAAATCAAAGTGTGACTCTCACATCACTAAGCCAACCTTATTTGATGATAATGCTAACACTTCTGTTCCGAAGACTATGAATTTACCTTATTTTTCTACCATTTTTGGTTGAAAAAACAAAAATGATAATGTCCTTTACTTCTCAATGTCTGCTTCAACCTCAACTTCAGGTACCCTTTGAAAGGAAGAGAAGAAATGGCTCTTGTCAAAGTCCAGGTACCCTTTCTCTCTCCTCCATGAAGTTGTGCAGAGTATCTAACGTGGGGTTGGGTTCTCCCAAGTTTGAATTGAATATATAATATTAATTTCTCTGCCAAAACTAATGGACACATAATAATTAAATAAGCACTTGAAAACAAGTACGGTAACAGTGGTTGGCTCTACAAAATAAATAAAATAAAAAAAGAAAGAAAAGCAAACATGGTGTAGTATTTCAATACTAATAGTTTTTTTTCATGAAGAGAATCAATACTAATAGTTTAATTCAATGTACTGCAATTTTCATTTTGTCTTATTCACTTGGCCCTGTATGATCTCAGGCTCTCACATCACATGCTGTAACAAAGCACAAAGACCAAAGTTTTTTTTTTTTTTCCCGAGATTTTAACCCCAGAACATATTTGAGTGCCACAATTTATTTAACATAAACGAATAAATTCCAATTTCTATAACAGAATTTATTTTATAACTTATTTTAATTATATATATTTTTATAGTCAAACATTATTTATTTCAATCTTAAACATTTGTTTCTATCTAAAAAATTGTTATTTCTTTTTTTTAGACTTGTTTATTTAATTTTTTTTATTAGAAAAAGTCTTAATTTTTTTTATTAGCAAAAGTCTTAAATTTAAAGATTAAGTTTCATACAAAAATTCATTGAGACTTATTGATCTGAAAGTTTTAAAATTAAGAACTGAATATTGTATAAAACTCAGGATCTTAAAAATAAAAAATAATGTTTCAATACCATTACACCAAAATTAGATTAATATTTAATGAAAATAATTACATTAGTATTTTAAATTGTTTAAGTTTAAAATATAATAAAACTTACAAAAACGTGTATTCTATAAGACCTCTTTCTTAAATATAATACATATAATTTTTATCTGACACAAAAAAAATGGGAATCTATCTGACACAAATTTAAACCATTTCTATTGGAAATTGCACCAACGACTGGTCAATCTGAACTAAACACTGATACATAAAAACTAAAACATACTAATAATTATATATTAATAATATATTTTGTTATCTTACTAAATATATTTTACTCAATATGATATCATATTTATGATATTGTATTATATTTTAACTATATCTCACTTTTATGAAACTAGATTATAATATTAATTATAATTTTAAAGTAATTTTAAGCTTTTATTGCCTGATTAGGCCTGCATACATGTATATTATATGTTTGAACTTTTTCCTACACCTCTCCACAAAGTTTTGCATTTTTTAAAGTCCACTCAGAGTTTCACATTTTGAATGTAAGTCTCTCAACTCTCTCATAATTTTCTATGACTGATATTTCCCAAAAATCCGTACTTTGTCTCGTGTTAAATCTTATCTTTCACACAACCAAACCCGTTGTTGACATGAACAACCTCAAATTTACTTAATGTCTTTCTGGTTAATGGGTTCTGTTAAAAAGGTTTTATTTTTGAGTGGTTTGCTGCAACATCTTGTGACTGATTTTTATTTTTAATATTGTTGTGTTGCTGCATGATAAATGAGAAACGATTATATTTGTGAAATTCTTTGTCTAAATAACTGTTATGGGAGTAGGGTTATATATGCTTGTAAGATGTTTGGTAAATGAGTTGGCCTTGTTTTTTTATTTAGAAAAAGAGGGTGGAAACGGTTATTGATGTTTTCTGTTTCTTCCCCAGGATATTTTTCTTTGATTTGGTTCTTAAAATATGATGCTGCTGAAAGGGGAGTTTGTTCTGTTTATGAAATTATCTTGTTTCTGTATTGTTTTACTTGGAACTGACTGTAATTGATTCATTGAAGTTGAATATGGGGATGATAGTATGTAAAGAGAATTTAAAATTTCTTGACTGATGGTTGGTTGGTTACTTAGGGTTAAAGTGCTTGAGGTTGTGGGGCTGTCAAGCATCAATTCTGTGGAGTTATCTCATTACAAGAGTTTTCATTCATTCTTGTTATATTGAGTTGTATGACTGATATGTGCATCAAGAGTTATTTCTGTCCTAGCATCAAGCCAACTGGTTTCCTACACCATCAAAATGTGAGGTTGCTTCAAATTTTGCCCATAAATTTTTTAACTTGCATGTTGTGTTATGTTTTTGGTAATACACTTTATGATGTTCATAACCCTTTTGGATGCCAGATTTGCTTCTTTTCTGTTTTAGAAGCGTAAGATATAAGGTCTTCAATTTAACAGTTAAACTCCTAGAATTTTAGTTCTTGGCCTATATGCCGGACACCAGCTTTTGTCGAAACAAGGGTTTTTTATTCATAGTTCCTGTTTCTCCACCACTTTTCTATTAACCTGTCCTACACAAATTGAGATTGCATTATGTTAATTGTTCTAGAAACCTAACATGTAGGGCTTTCATTCTTAAAATTTTCTGATTTTCTCCCATTCATTATAACCTTTTTAAATAACGTTTGATTCTACATATTGTAACCGTCGGACAACATTTACAGTTTAATGTGTAGCTTGGCCTAGGGATTGGAAATCAAGCGCCATTTTAAACATACAGGAGTCTTAAACCATAAAAAAAATTTACATCATAGATCCATTACATTTTATAAAGGATGAGCCTTGGCATAACAGCAAAGTTGCTGCTTTGTGGCTAAGAAATCATGGGTTCAATTTCTGCTTGATGGAGTAAGGCTGCTTTCATCTACCTTTTCATGACCCCACTAATTGGGAACTTTGTGCACTAGGCTGTCCGATATTCCATATCTGATAACCATTTTAGCCCATAAGTTTCTATCTTTCCCTGTAATTGGCAGAGCGCTAAATCTAACTAGAGTCCCGATATTTTGACAACCCATTTTAAAACATCTCAAAAAAAATATTAAATGCATAGTATTTTATTCATTAATTAATTGATTCCCTTCGCATTAGTTCAGTATCTCGCTTTCTTCGATTCTCATTATGCTCTCACTGAACTTACTCCTTCCTTCCTCGACCTTCCTCGCACGCTTCTAAACTTGCCTAACCTGTCAGTCGAACTCACTCACCACCGCATTGTACAAATTTGTTGGCAACATCGTGAACGTGGTTCCGTTGTCAACAACCATGCCGTCATCTCCTCTGCTGTTCACCCTCGACAGCATATTCGGCGCCAAGATAGTCCTCTCCCCTACATATATCCCGACGAATCCAATGCAGTAGAAATAAGGATGTTTCGGGTTCCAAAACATGGATTCCTGTGGAGGTATAATTCCTTGTTTCTTAGGGTTGGATCCATAATTAAATTTAAATAATTACTTTATTCCTAAATTCACGCTGCTATATCTTGTTCCTTTGCTACTCTTTCACAGTTCAATCGTCTTGAATGTTATATTGCAATGGAAAACCTAAAGCAACACTTTCAGGTGCATTCTGGTACTCATATTTGTATGTGAAGTAGATTAAACTGTTAATTTGACGTGAATATTTTTTAATTGGTGTGTTTGGATGTAGAAGAGAATCATGTAATATTTTTTGCACAAAAACCTGATAAGGTGTACTTTCTGATGTTGCATCCATGCATATAATTATTAATTGTGGATCATAGTCTATGATAAAGAGGCAATTTCAGTCGGAGTACACACATTCAAAATTTGCAAAAGTTCAAGCTGAATTTAGAGGAAAAATGAACTGTAGTGTTGTGCATGTCTCTTGCCTTGGATCTGCTTCGTTTTATGACGTTATGGAGGAACCTATTTGTGGTGAAGATTGTAAAGAAAACCTGTATAGTTTAAGTTTCAACCGTGACGACCAAAATGTCAGTTGCACATGCTTGCTATTTGAATTCAAAGGTATTCTTTGCCGACATTGTTTGGTCTTCCTTGCTCAACAAAGGGTTAAAAATATTCCCTGCAAATACATTTTAAGTAGATGGAGTAAAAATGTGAGAAGGAAACATACTTATATGAAAACCACCTACAATGTAAAGGAGAAGTAACCGCAGATTGAAAGATACGATGAGTTGTGCAAAAGATTTTATGAGATTGTTGAAGTTGCATCAGAGTCAATTGAGCAGACGGACATGTTGCATGAAATAATGAATAAATTTGCTCCAGCACATATATTTCAACGTTCTGAAACTGAAATAGATACCAATATCTGCGAAAGCAATACACTTACAGATTCACAAAGGTTATATGTTAACAACGTTGACATTGACATTCGTAGTCCGTTGCATGTTAAAAGGAAAGGAAGACCACGTTCACTTTGAAAGGTGTCAACAAGTGAAAAACTTGCAACGCAAAGGTTAAAAAATAAAGTACAGCACACTTGCACCACAAATACTGTAAGTATTATATCCACAACTGTCATGTTATTTTGTATTGGATGATTTCATAAGTTCATTAATATGTTATCTTCACCATTACAGGGGAACACTGAAGAAACTTCGTCCCAGTTATTAAACTCAACCCTTCACATAGAAACTCATGTTGATTATCGGTCATCTGGATTGGTTTGTGTCAAAAATGAAATTTATTTAATGTTATAGTGATTGTTCAATCGAATTTCTTTTATTTAAAGTGTGATATGCAATTTATTTGAATTTCTTTGTGGGACTGATATACTGTTTATGCAGTATATGTTATGTAAAATGGCAGTAAAGTCATATGTCAAAACTTATGTAATTGTTGCCCTTTGCAGCCATCAACTTTGGGTACCACTGGTTTTATGTCGTTGTTGACATCACTTGACAATAATGTTGACGGTACACAATTGTCTTCCTCAACACAATGGTTTGGGAACATTGTTTTTTTAATGAAATACTCTGTCAACAATGAATATTATATTAGTTTTCAATTGCATTACATTGATGAAATACTCTGTCAACACAATTTGACAGAGCATTTATTGTAATGCAAATTCAAACCATGCAAATTGATGACAATTTGACATCAATGTAATACAATTGAAAACTAGTGTAATATTCATTGTTGACAGAGTATTTCATTAAAAAAAAATGTTCTCAAACCATTGTATTGAGGAAGACAATTGTGTGCCGTCAATATTACTGTCAAGTGATGTCAACAACGACACAAAACCAGTGGTACCCAAAGTTGATGGCTGCAAAGGGCAACAATTACATGAGTTTTGACATATGATTTTACTGTCATTTTACATAACATATACTGCATAAACAGTATATCAGTCCCACAAAGAAATTCAAATGAATTGCATATCACACTTTAAATAAAGCAAATTCGATTAAACAATCACTATAACATTAAATAAATTTCATTTTTTATACAAACCAATCCAGATGACCGATAATCAACATGAGTTTCTATGTGAAGGGTTGAGTTTAATAACTGGGATGAAGTTCCTTCAGTGTTCCCCTGTAATTGCGAAGATAAAATATTAATGAACTTATGAAATCATCCAATACAAAATAACATGATAGTTGTGGATATAATACTTACAATATTTGTGGTGCAAGTGTGTTGTACTTTATTTTTTAACCTTCGTGTTGCAATTTTTTCACTTGTTGACACCTTTCGAAGTGAACGTGGTCTTCCTTTCCTTTTAACATGCAACGGGCTATGAATGTCAATGTCAACGTTGTTAACATATAACCTTTGTGAATCTGTAGGTGTATTGCTTTCGCAGATATTTGTATCTATTTCAGTTTCAGAACGTTGAAATGTATGTGTTGGAGCAAATTTATTCATCATTTCATGCAACATGTCCGTCTATTCAATTGACTTTGGTGCAACTTCAGCAATCTCATAAAATATTTTGCACAACTCATCGTAATCTTTCAATCTGCGGTTGTTTCTCCTTTACATTGTAGGTGGTTTTCATATAAGTATGTTTCATTCTCACATTTTTACTCTATCTACTTAAAATGTATTTGTAGGGAATATTTTTAACCCTTTGTTGAGCAAGGACGACCAAACAATGTCGCCAAAGAATACCTTTGAATTCAAATAGCAAACATGTGCAATTGACATTTTGGTCGTCACGGTTGAAACTTAAACTGTACAGGTTTTCTTTACTATCTTCACCACAAATAGATTCCTCCATAACGTCATAAAATCAAGCAGATCCAAGGCAAGAGACATGAACAACACTCCAGTTCATTTTTCCTTTAAATTCAGCTTGAACTTCTGCAATTTTTGAATGTGTGTACTCTGACTTAAATTGCCTCTCTATCATAGATTGTGATCCACAATTAATAATTGTATGCATGGATGCGACATCAGAAAGTACACCTTATCATATTTTTGTGCAAAAAATATTACATGATTCTCTTCTACATCCAAAAAATTAACAGTTTAATCTACTTCACACACAAATATGAGTACCATAATACACCTAAAAGTGTTGTTTTAGCTTTTCCATTACAATATAACATTCATGACGATTGAAATGTGAAAGAGTAGCAAAGGAACAAGATATAGCAGCGTGAATTTAGGAATAAAGTAATTATTTAAATTTAATTATGGATCCAACCCTAAGAAACAAGGAATTATACCTTCATAGGAATCCATGCTTTGGAACCCGAAACATCCTTATTTTTACTGCATTGGATTCGTAGGGAAGAGGACTATCCTGGCGCCGAATATGTGTGCCGAGGGTGAACAGCAGAGAGGATGACAACGTGGTTGTTGACAATGGAACTATATTCACGATGTTGCCGACGAGTTTGTATAATGCGGTGGTGAGTGAGTTCGACTGACCGGTTGGACAAGTTTAGAAGCGCGCGAGAAAGGTCAAGGAAGGAAGGAGCAAGTTCAGTAAGAATATAATAAGAATCGAAGAAGAAAGCGAGAGACTGAACTAATACGAAAGAAATAAATTAATTAATGAATAAAATAATGTGCATTAATGGGTTGTGAAAATATAGGGATAATGGAAGAATATGAGGGTGCATGGTTTTGGCTCTGAATGAGGAGTATACAACCGAGTCAGCCATTGTTAAAGACACAGATGAGTTGGCCATAATACCTCCAAAGAGTGGTGGCTGAACAACTTAATATCAGTGCAGGGTACTTCTGCTTGTGTACTGTAGTAAATATTCTGAAAGAAATAAATGAATCTGAGTTTGAATAAATACTGACAAGTTTATATCTCATCAAGGGTGATTTTATTGCTGTGCAATTCTCAAAAGTTTAACGTTTCTCAACATATATATGAGACTACTAAGTTTTCTTAGTCAAATCATGAAGCTAATTTAATCAGCAATTTAACAAAAGGGTTAAACCTTTTGAGAAATTACCCTACTATTATAATGATTGTTATCTGTGAACTTCAACGAGTGTAATGATTTTAATGCAAGAATTGTTGTAAACCAACACTTTTCTTTGTTCAAAAGAAAATGAAAGTATTTTATTTTTTACTGTGTTTGGCATCATTCCATGATAACCAAAGTTGATTCACTCAGTCTAAAAGTCAATTTTCGACAAATTTAAAACTTCATTTATCAAAATTTAATCTCATTATTAACCTATATTAAATTTCACATATTTTAGAGAGAACAAAATCATATTTGACCTGTTCACTAAATTAAAGACCAAATTACATCTTATAGTACAGTAAAAGACTAAAAATACAACTTAAGTATTCATTGAGAAAATATATTTTTTTGAGTTTTCATCGTCACAAATTTATTTTAAAAAATATATGTTAAAAGAGAAAAATATATATAAATTATTTTATAAAATATGAGATTAATGAACTTAGCCAAATATAATACATTAAGTATATTTTTAATATATTCTCAAATCATAATTTTTTTTTAATATTTGGTATGTATTTTACCTATTATTATTTAAGGATAATTATCTATTGGATAAAAATATAATCAATCATAATTTATATATATAATTTTTTTCTTAAAACAAAACTGTAACGAATAATAATTACAGTGGAAATCATTCATCAAACATAACAATTATTTTAACCATCTTATTATAACAAACACAAAATATAAAGATAATTTTTCATAATAAATATGAAATATTAGTATATTTTTATATAATAATTTATCTTTTTAATATTTAATATGTATTTTATCCAGTATCATATAAGATCATTATTTTGACAGAGACCATTCAATTATAATTATCATAATTTTCATAATATTTTAAAATTTTATTTCTGAATTATAAAAATTAGATTTTAGAGTGTTGAAAATATTTACATTTGTTACATTAAAAGTGCATATTAATTAAACACAATATTTGTTATTTTCCGTATATATATATATATATATATATATATATATATATATATATATATATATATATATATATATATATAATTTTAAAAAAATTGTAGGACTGAAGAAGGTGTGATTGAGGTGTACTGCTTCCTGATATGATATGACAGTGGGCCATCATCTCCATGTGGCCCACGTTCCCATTGTCGCTGTTTCAGCTTTTCATCAAATCAATTATTATTTATTTTATTAAAAAAATATTATTAAGGATTATTCAATCTATGATTAGATATTAATTAGTTATTATATTGTTAAAAAGACTTTAAAGCATAATTTATTGTCTGTAGAAAGTTCACTTTTCCCAAACATTTCTTCTATCAATCTACCGAATTTAATGAACACATCTAATACTTTCTATAACTTTTTTGGGTTTAATTATACATTTATCCCTAAATTAATTATTTGCAAATTAAATTTTGAACTTTTATATTTTGTTGACCCATTAATTTTTATCAAAATACCATGTATCATGGAGAAAAATATAAAAAATATAAAAATTTGCAATCAAACAATGTGTTTTTTTTTCTTTAAAAATGGATAAAAATTGTGAAAATAAACCATATGTGAAAAACAGGCTTAGAAAATAATGTTAATTGATAGGTAAAATACATAATTAAACTTATATATTTACCATAATTAATGTTACAAATCTTAAATGTTAATTTATATTTAGCTTTTTTTATTTAAATAATAATCATCTTTAAATGTATACTAATATTAGTGGTGTAAATTATGCGCTCATAATGTATATTTACATTTCAAAAAGAATTTAATAAATGATTAACTAACTAGATTTAACTAAATTTCGATAAAAAAATTTAATATTTTATCATTTATTACAAGTAATAAATAATATGAAATTCAGGCAAAAAAAATATTAATAAACGAGGATGGATAAGTTTGTTTGGTACAGTGGACGAAAAAAATTATATAAATAAATAATTTTTAAATGTTATATTTCCATTCCCTTTGTTTGATCCCTTCTTTGCCTATAAAACTGCAATTCCCATCAAAATCCCAAATTTTAGTGTGTCCAATGCAAGGGCTTCGTTTATGAAGGTAATTACTCTAATTCATAGATCCTCGTCTCTTTCACTTTCTCTCTCTTATTCAATTTTTTGATTGCTTATTTTTTTTCATTTAAAAACCTTTTTTTTTTTTTTTTGTTTCGTATTGAAGTTCTTGAATTCTCATTCGACTCAAGGGCAATTAATTTTAAGTGGGTTTTGATCTTCATGTCCAGATTTAGAGAAAAGGGTTGAAATTGATCATGGATTTGGGTAACGAATCCGTGGAAGAGAACGAAGTGAATAATGATGGGAACGGAAACGGTGGTTCCTATGGTAACGAGAAGATTGGGTTGGGATTCGAGGGAAATTCGGATGTCAACGGGTCGGATCAAAAGGGAACGACTGGTGAAGTTGAAGTGGATAGTGGGGAAGGTGTGAATGACAAGGGGACGCCGACAAAGGGGTTTGGGTTGAAGAAATGGAAGAGAATTAGGAGGAATGTTGTTAAGGATCCGAATTCAAGTGCTGATTCGGGTAAAGTGTTGAAGAGGGGGTTGTCTGGCAATGTCAACTTGAGGGAAAACCAGCCTTTTCAGCGTGATGTTAAGGAGAGAAGCGATGGATCTTCCAATATGCTTGCGAATGTAGTGTTTTCTGACGGCAATGTGATCCATGGTTCTAGTTCGGATTCTAGATATGCACTTGGATCTGGTTTTGCTGTTGGAACTGATTCTGAGAATAGCGAGGATCGGAGCAGCAAGTCTTCTACTGCGGCTAGTGAGCCCAAGTTGAGGCAAGAGAAAAGCCGTAGTAAGAATGTGACTTCAAAGCATTTAGCAAACTCGGCTCAACGAGTTCAACAGGGGAAGGGAAGGACTGAAGGTAGTAAGAAACCAGGAGGAGGTGGAAGAGTCAAAATTGAGAAGGAAAATTCTTTCTCTAGTTTGGAATCTGATTCTAGAAGCTCCAACTTTAAGCAAGGTGTTTTTTCGGTTACTAGTAATGGAAAACATAGTGGTAGGCCAAATGTTTACGATGGAGTTAATAGAGGTGAAGCACACGCTAATGAACATTTCACCGAGGGAGTTGAAGCTGGTTATGGCAACGAAAACGTTGTTGAGGATGAAGATCTTCTACCAGAGAATTTAGCTACAAATTTGTCGTGGGATGTTACAGAAGAAAAAAGTGTGAACAACCAATCATCAGCCATTGAAGATCCATTGATCAAATCAGTTTGTAGCCTTCAGGCTGTCCAGGAGGCACTTCAAGAAGGTTTGTCCTTTCTATTTTTCTCGAAAGTTTGATTTTTTTTCTGAGAATATATTTCTGTGCATCTTATCATTTTGCAACTAATATTGTTACGTTTCTTTGTTTTTTAATTCTTGAGAAAATTTCTGCTGCATGATTCAATTCAGCTGTCAATAAAGCTGCTAACATGGTAGATATCAATGCATTGTCTGGTCTAATATGTTTCGGTCTGATTTGAACCTCGCAACATTTTAAACCTTACTATTTTTTTTTCCAACCTCATCCAGAGGAAAGCAATGATTTGGTTCTGTCTAACCGATTTGGTCCCTTGAGCACCATGCATGTAGAATAGTGAAGGGTCTTATTGCATGAAGGAGTTTGTTTCTTGATGGAAAACAAAACTGTCCTTTTAATTTGAGTAGCAGTTGCCAGTTTTTGGTATAATTTTAGACATTCCATAAATATTTCACTAATACTTTACACATGTCATGTAGTTGATGCATATCCAAGGGATATGAATATGTTGTGGACTAAATCATTGAATAATCAATATTCAGTTTCCTTTGTAAGTCTTCTTGATTATTTTCTTTTATAACCTTAAATATCCGATGGTATACAGGTCTACTCTAGTCTCCTTTTTAAGCCTTTTTGATAAATCAAGTAGTCTTCTAATGTTAAATTTGAAACTGTTGTCCTCTTGCTAATGTAGCACTGTGCTGGGTGATAAATAGATGGAAAACAGAAAATGAGCCTGTTGGAAAACCAGCAATTTTCTCTGTATGAAATGTTAAATGTTGTAAATGTTTAAGATAGATGTGATGTGATTGTTTCATTTTAGATGTCAGGGATTTCTTTGACTAAATGTCTGTATGTGCTGGCTTTGACTTTTCCCCAGTGGCTTGGCTGTCTTATGGTTAAGTGTCTTGATTTTGAGCCTATCATAGTTAGTGTTTGTTGTCTGTTGCTGATGAAGTTCTGAATCTATCATCCTCTCTTTGTGAAGAGTATTCAATGGTTTATCTGTTCTTCAATCGAATTTCATTGTTATTAAGAAATGTAAGAACTTATAGACAGTAAATGAATGGAATCTGAAATTAAAAAGTATAATGTAACCAGGAACTTGTTTTTTTACTTGTCAAAAAGTGTTTTAGCGTGGGTCGATGGGAACTACTTAATGCAACATCTCATTTTAACTTTTTTCCTTTGAAAAAATAAATATCAACCTAAAATAATTTTCATTTTCCTTTGTATTGTAAATATAAACTTCTAATTATTAAGAAAGAAAATGGATCTACTTATTCCAAAAGTAAGTGTAAGGGACTTACTCCTCATCTTCACTATTCATTTTTTTTTTTTTCAATCTAATAATTAAGATTAATAATTAAGATGAATTATTATGTTGGACCATTAGAATCCTGCCTCATTAATGAATATTGATTTATATTGTTGAAACTCTGGCTTAACTGATATATTATATTTGATTTGAACTTTTAACATGTACTTTAAATTTCAGGAACCTATGAAGCTATGTTTTAGTTTTAATATTATAAAGATTAACATTATTTATGTATCATTTTTTATCATCATTATTTTATTAATTAATAATATGAATTGAACCTTAGTTTAACTAAAATTTAACTATTTAACCTTGAACAGTTCAATGGCCAATCTAATTTTAAAACATTGATATTTTGTGTGAATTGGATTGTGCAAGCTTACCTGCATATTGTAATGATTTGGAGTAAGCTTTTTCTTTTTTTCTCTTTTTAGTAGGACCACCATATATAATTATTAATTTTCTGGTTTTTTTTTTTTTTTTTTTTTTACAAAACTAGCTTGTTTGTCGTGGTACTGTTATATTGGTTGTTGATTATTTATTCACAATCTCGCACCTCTAAAATTGACAAACTACTCCGAGAGGGTGAGGTAATTATTCTTAGCTGTTAATTAGAAAAATCTATGGTTAATGGTTAATATTTAGTGCACATGCATAACAAATAATGCATGCACTGGAAAATCAACCATTAATGTTTTCAGTAAGGACTGAGATTACTTTACCTTGCTTGAGTCACATCCATGTATTGAGAGATTATACGAATTCTAGATCAGCTAATTTTTCTTGGTCCTGTTTGTTGGTCAAATACATCATTTATGACATTAGCAACTGGAAACACTGAAAGATAGGTTATTGACTTTTAAGCTACTTTCACAATTCTACTTCCCTACCCTATCTGGATTATTATTTGTTTGAACAGCATATGCTGCTTTCTACTTCTCATTAATATTTAAATTTAGGATTTACTATATGGTATGTGAAAGTTCATTCTTTTCTTCTGTAAAGTGGTTTAATGGAAGAAGAATTAATATAGATGTACCATTGCTGATGATCAATCAACATTTACTCTTGCAGAACTCCAGAAATTTAGGGAGATTGGGATTGAAGCCATTTCACCAGATGATGATCACTCTGCCAAGTGTAGCAGTGAGTCTGCTGGTCCTACTGTTGATCTTGGACTTAATAAGTCAAGCCAATCTGATCAGTCTGGTGCTGAAGAAGAAGAAATTAAACAAACTGCTTTGAGTTCCTCATATCCTCAGATATCGAGCCTGACACAAAATATAAATATTTTGGAAAGGAAGTTGGAGGAATTACAGGGTGTGCTTGCTCTGAAGGACTCCAGGATTGCTGAACTTGAAAAATCCTTGAGTAGTCTTAAGATTTCTAGGGAAGAATCTTCTAGAACGTTAGGTTTGTCGGATGAAAAATGCAAAGGGGTTGAATATGATCTCGAGGGCCTTTTTAGGCTGAAGATCGAAGCTGAGGTTGAATACCTAGCCGTCTCAAAGGTGATGCAGACATTGTTTGAAGAACAAGAGAAACTTTCTGAAAGTCAAGTGCAGGTTCTTGACAAACTTGTAGATGCAGAGAGTAAAGTTTCAGTGCTGAAGAACAAAGCAGAGGAATTGGAAAAATATTGTGATGATAGCGTAGTAGTTGAGGAGTCTCTTGTGCTGCAGAGAAGACTATGTAAGGATACATTTTATCTTTTCATACAGTCCATGTTTTTAGTTTTCATCTTTTGGCTTTTTATGTCACAGTCATCACCCAATTCTGGGATGGTTGTACCCACTTAGGTCTGCCAAATTAGGTTCATTTTGTGCAATCTCAAAAGTTTTTTTTTTTTTCTTCTTTTTGGCTGATCGTCGAATGTAAAATTTCGTTGTTATAATATAAAACTGACCCTTCTTTCTCTGGGTAGGGGGAGAGCGTGTATTTGCTCTCGCTGTTTCAATATGATTTTGTGCACAGCCCCTTGTAATTTGGGCTTTGCAAAACAGTTTTTATTGTAAGTTTCTTCTTCTTCTTCTTCTTGAATTTAGTTTTAATACATGGTTAATCGATTGGAAATAATCTTGACATGATTTTTATAGTAGTTATTACAGAAATTAACCACCTTATGACTGATAATAATATATGATTGGATAAAAATATTAAAAAAATCCTGACATTGTTATGCATTTTAATACCTTGTTCATGTTGTTGTAGCTTACTACTCAATTAAATACTTGATGGACTAGATATACTATAACAGAAGTATTTTAGGTTTATGCATATAAACGAGAAATGGAAATCTAAAAACACTAAATTTTGGTTTGATTGAGTGCAATGGCCAGGTGTGCAAGTTAATGGATTGCTCATTCAATTTTGATTTAACCGAAGGCAATTTGGTAGGATTTGTTTATGTGCCTGAATGTTAACAAAACAGGTTCATTGCTTGGGAAACATGGTGATTCATTTTCTTACATGATCATTATGATGTGAAGAAGGAGTTTCTTAGCCACAAAATCAGTCTCACAGCATTGTAGCACGGTTAATGTTGGACCCAGCAACCACAAACAGATATCAGAGGATGCAAGCACACTTCCACACCCATTCATTGTCTGAATAAGAAACAAACTCATTTTTATGGAGAAGGCAAAGGTAAAAATCACAATGAGTAATAAAGTAGCAATTCTAATTTAATGTTAACTTCCATGATATCTTACAAAAGAAGACCAGATTCTTAACTTACAGTGATATATTATCCTTTAACTTCCAATTTTTATCAATATATTTTTAACTTGAAAAGGTTTATCCGTTTTAAATTGGGATATCATTCTTCACCTAATTTTTGAGATTACCTTATAATTGATTGACTTTCAAAACAAATCATTCAGCAAATCATGACTTAAAATTTCCATTTATCTATTTTGGCAACTGCTTGTTTGACAAGGTATTTGCATTGTTTAGATATGATAGAATGGCTTATCTTTTCATGTTTATTTCCATAGAATAAGGCGTAGTTAATGGACATAAAAATCTCCTTATTACCATTATTTGAAGTTTTTCATCTATTTTTAATGAATTCCAGTTCTGTTTTTCCTCTAGAATCATTAGCTGGAAATATTAAAATCATTTTTTATTGTTCATTATTGAGGATTCTTCTGAAATGGAGAAAAATGATGATTATTCCACTTTAATTAGTCTTAATTTTGAACCAGCTAATTATGAAGAACAGCATAATGAGTTTATTGAAAGCATTAATTTCATTTTCTGAACTTCATCGCATTAATTGCTTGTTCAAGAGCAGCCCATGTGTGTATTTACATTTTAAAAATAATTTGGATGTAATTATTTTGTTTCTCCCTAATAGCCACCGACCCAACATAGTAAGTCTTTCTATTTAAAATACATAAATTAACATTTGACTAAAAAAACATTTTTTATTTAGTATTCTCATGTTTCCAACCTAGAGAAAAAAAAAGAATAAAAATATGTATTCATTTGATAGGAAAATGATAAGAAATATTTGTTTAAAAAATATAAATAAATAAATATTTATTTAATTAAAAAATTACTTATATAATTATTAATTATTTTTTATGAATAAGTAGATGTTAAATTAACTCCTTTACGTCAAAAATCTCATTTTTCTTCCATAAATATATACTTTAGTATATAATTATAAAATTATCTTTTTTCTAAAATTATTAAATTAATATATAATGTTATATTAAAAAATATAAAATACAAACTTTATTTATTTAATTTTTATAATTATCTTCGTATTTATTATACTTTATTAAAATAACATAATTAAAATTATAAATAAAAGAATAAATAATCATTTATCAGAGAAGTGTCGATGCAAACAAAATTGTATATCTCCAAGGAATGGGTCCCAGAAAAGATTGGAATGCATGAGAATCAGTACCTTCAAATTTACAAGTCTAAATTGAAATGAATTCAATTTAAAATATAAACAATTGAAATTTGAATTAACAAATTAATATAAAAATAAAAAAAGGTTTAAAGTAATTAAAACTGAGTTAAGGGAAAAATAAATTATTTTAGATTTATTCTACTATCCATATTCACTAATTAACAATTAATATTAAACACATATCTCAAAATACATTAGCATATAACTAATATTTGAGAATTGATAACATCAAATTTAAAATTATTAATAAATTTTAAAATTTAAAATAACGCAAAAATAAAAGCTGTTTATTTAAAATAATTTGTTAGCTCTTGTTCAAGAATAATAAGGACTTAACCTTAAAGTGTAAGAATTGATCTAAGATCAAAAATTGTGTAAATAAATTGATGAATTTATTTCTAAAAATTATTGTGATTAAGTTATTATAAAAGAAACAATCCTTGATTTATAAGTCCTGATACAAGGAATTTTTATTTTATTTTATTTTATTTGAATTCTTGAGCAGCCATACTAAGTCAAATCAACTTATATTTGGGCATCTTTACACATGCTAACATTTGTTCCATAAATGTGTGTATAAATGTGCGTGAAGTATGAAACATAACTCAATAAACCAAAGGTAGAGAAGTAAACATGGAAATGAGTCATCTTGCAGTGTTTTTGATGCTGCTTCTTCCAATCTCATGCACAGCTTCTGCCTTGGTAGAAAAAAAATACAAAGAATGTTTGATAACCCATCTTCACGAAAAATCTGAATCCGTTGAGAAAATAATCTTCACCAAATCATCCTCCCAATATCCCCAAGTCTTGGAAGCATTGGAACAAAATCCTAGATGGGTGAACTCCTCAAGGAAGCCTCTTCTCATTCTAACACCTTTCCATGAATCAGAAATTCAAGCAGCCATCAGATGCAGCAAAGAACTTGGGTTGCAGCTCAGAGTCAGAAGTGGTGGCCATGATTATGAAGGGCTATCATTCCTTAGTAAGGTCCCATTTGTCATGGTTGACCTCATCAACATCCGTTCCATTGAAGTTAACCTTGCTGATGAAACAGCTTGGGTTCAGGCTGGGGCATCATTAGGTGAACTTTACTACAAAATTTCAAAAGCAAGTAATCTGTATGGATTCCCTGCAGGAACCTGTCCAAGTATAGGGATAGGTGGGCATATCAGTGGAGGGGGACAAGGTGCCATGATGAGGAAGCACGGCCTGGCAGCAGACCATGTTATTGATGCTTACATCATAGATGCAAATGGGAAGATTCATGATAGAAAATTAATGGGAGAAGATGTTTTCTGGGCCATTAGAGGAGGTAGTGCTACTAGTTTTGGAGTCATCCTTGCATGGAAGATCAGGTTGGTCAGAGTTCCACCTATTGTTACAGGGTTCAACGTTGACAGAACAGTGGAGGAAGGAGCCAAAAATCTCATTCAAAGGTGGCAATACATAGCACATGAAGTGCATGAGGATCTTTTCGTTAGAGTAATTGCTCAAAATAGTGGCGACCAATCAAGAACATTTGGAGCAACCTTCAACTCTCTCTTCCTTGGAGGAATAGACAGGTTGGTCCCACTGATGACTGAGAGTTTCCCAGAATTGGGATTGCAGGCCAAAGACTGCACTGAAATGAACTGGATTCAATCAGTCATGTTCATTGCCGGATACCACATAGACGACCCTCTAGAACTCTTGCTCAACAGAACTACATCATTTAAAAGCTCTTTCAAGGCCAAGTCTGACTTCGTGAAGGAGCCAATACCAAAATCGGGTCTAGAAGGAGCTTGGAAAATGGTCGTAGAGGAAGATACAACAGCCATGCTGATATTGGAACCCTATGGTGGTAAAATGAATGAAATTTCAGAATCTGAAACCCCTTTTCCCCACAGAAAGGGAAACTTGTACAATATACAATATTTGGTCAAGTGGGAAGTGAATAGCATCGAAGCATCCAAGAGGCATCTAGAGTGGGCTAAAATGGTTTATAGATACATGACCCCTTATGTCTCCAAATCTCCTAGAGCTGCCTATTTCAACTATAAGGATCTTGATTTAGGCAAAAACAAGCATGATAACACAAGCTACTCAAAAGCTAGTATTTGGGGTGAGAAGTACTTTAAGGGAAACTTTAGGAGATTGGCACAAATTAAGACAAAATTTGACCCCCAAAACTTTTTCAGGAATGAACAGAGTATTCCTCTTATAAATGCCCGTGATTCTTAAAGGGTATGACTATGACATTATTTGGAGCACCTTAAACATTTTATAATGCTTCACTATAATGTTAATTTTCTTCTTTGTTTTATTGTCATAAACCCAATCTTGAATGATATGCTTCTTTTGCAAACAGTTCAAAGGTTGGGGGTGCAAATTCAAAATGGATATGATGTATTCCCATAATTAGTGTGGAGTTGCACAATTTCATAAAGCAACTTAATGTTGGTTTAATTTTCCTTCCCAAGATGTGTGTTCCTTTCCTATATCTACATTTCATTTCCTTTTCTTCCAAACTATCTTCATAAGAAGTGTCATGTTCTACATTTTATAAAGTTGCGCACCAAAGATAAGCTATCACCATGACATTCTGATAAAACAAAGTTTTAAATCACATTAAAACCAATTAGGAAATCAGCCAATAAAGAGAAATTAAGTTCACCAATAGGTAGGGGTATCAATGTAGTTAAGGAATATGTTGTTGGGAAAAATATGCGGAATCTTCCCATATGGTCAGATCTGTGAAAGTGAAATAAAAGCGGAATAATTGCACACACAAGTTGATAACGGAGTTCGGCCAATAATGCCTACGTCTCCGGACTACTACAGATCTCTTACTAGGAGAAAAGAAAAATACACAAGTGTTTACAAAACACTCCC